TACTGTGTTGGACAGGCATTCTAACTCACTGCAGAAGGTATGTGGTGATAGAAAGCATCCATTGTCTCATTCTTGATTTTGTAGGGGAATAATTCTAATGTTTTAACATGAAATATGATGTTTGCTCTAGGTTTTTGATATCCTTTTATGAATTGCTTATTAAGTAACTTTTCTCTTTTTTTGGAAATGAACATTTTAATATATTTATATGGTGAGTTACACTAATAGATTTTCTTAAATTATCCTATCATTCTGAAATCAACCCAACTTGACCATGACCATGATTTATTTATTTATAGAGCTGATTATACTTATTAGTAGTTTGATTAAGGTTTGTGCATCTATTTATATAAATTCAATCTGTATTTTTCCTATCTAAACTTGTCTATTTTTGGTATCAGAACTAAACTAGCCTTGAAAACTTTGTTGGGTAATATTCCCTCTTATTTAAGAAGTTCTCCAGAAGATTTTAATAAAATTGGAATTATCTGTTCTTTGAAGATTTAGTAGAACTCACTAATAAAATCATCTTAGCCTGTTGTATTTGTTTACTTGGTAGTTAAAACTTTAGCTGCTGATTCAACTTATTTAATAAATATTAGAAAATTCAGGATTCTCAGTTCTTCAATTATGGTAGATTATATTTTTATAACAAAATCTGTATGTTATATAAATATTCAACTTATTAGCACAAAATTGTTTCTCATATTACCTTGTTACTTTTAGATCTTTAATGTATTTTAGTCACATCCTCTTTTATTCCCCAAATTCTTTATTTGTACCTTTTGTCTTTTCTTTTATCAGCCTTACCAAGTATTTGTCTATTCTTTAAATCTTTACAAAGAAACAGCTATTGACTTTATTATTTCTCTCTGTTGTATGTTTTTGTGTCTATTTCATTATTTTCTGTTTTTATCCTTTCAAGTTTACTGTGTTTTTCTTTTCTTACCTTTGGTTGGATGCTTAGCTGATAATTTTTGCCTTTTTTTTTCTTAATATAAGATTTAAGGTTTAATTTTATTAGTTTATAAAAGCACTATTTTAGCTTTATGTCACAAGCTCACAGGTGTGTGACCATCTCAGCCCTCACATCCAGGCCCCATTCCAGCAAATAGTCACCCTTTAGCCATTCTTGATGCAGACTGTGGCATAGTCCACCCTCAGTAGGACAGACCCAAGAAAGGTTCAATTTGAGTCCTGGAAATAGACATGGAGCTGTTTAGGCAAGAAAATTGGGGGATTCCAGGTACTGACTAGGTGTTTAGAAGTGAAGTATGCAGGCTTCAAATGGATACATTGTCTTGACCCTATAGACTACTCACTTTTGTAAAGATGAGAAAACCTAGAGGAAGGCCAGTGTGGGGCCTTCTGAAACTAGAGGGCCAGATCAGGGTCTCTCCTGCCCATATCCAAAGACAGTACCATATGAGACAGGAAGCATGCTTCTTTCAAGAGGAAGAATGCTGACACAGCAATCAGGCAAGAAAAAGAAAGAAAAGGCATCCAAATTGGTAAGGAAGAGGTAAAACTCACTATTCACAGAATGGCAGGATACTATATCTAGAAAACCCTAAAGACTCCACTAAAAAAACTATTAGAACTGCTAAATGAATTCATTAAGGTTGCAGGATATAAACTCAATATACATGGGATCCCTGGGTGGCGCAGCGGTTTGGCGCCTGCCTTTGGCCCAGGGCGCGATCCTGGAGACCGGGGATCGAATCCCACGTCGGGCTCCCAGTGCATGGAGCCTGCTTCTCCCTCTGCCTATGTCTCTGCCTCTCTCTCTCTCTCTGCGTGTGACTACCATAAATAAATAAAAATTAAAAAAAAACTCAATATACAGAAATTCACTGCATATATTCTATACAAGAATGAAGTAGCAGAAAGAGAAATCAAGAAAATAATCCCATTTATACTTGCATCAGAAAGAGTAAAATACTTAGGAATAAACTTAACCTAGGATGTGAAAGACTTGTACTCTGAAAACTATAAAACACTGATGAAAGAAATTGAGGACAACACAAACAAATGAAAAGATATTCCATGCTCATGGACTGAAAGAACAAATATTGTTAAAATGTCCATACTATCCAAAGCAACCTACACATTTAATGCAATCCCTATCAAATTACCAATAGTATTTTGCATAGAACTTGAACACTTAATCCTAAAATTGTATGAAACAACACAAGACCCGAATACTGAAAGCAATCTTGAAAGAAAATAACAAAACTGGAGGTGTCACAATCCCAGATTTCAAGATACACTACAAAGCTGTAGTAATCAAAACAATATGCTACTGGTATGAGAACAGACACGTAGATCAATGGAACAGAATAGAGAGCCCAGAAATAAACCCACAATTATATGGTCAATCTTCAACAAAGTAGGCAAGAATATACAATGGGGAAAAGTCTCTTCAAGAAATGGTAGTGGAAATACTGGACATCAACGTGCAAAAGAATAAAACTAGACCACTTTCTTATACCATACACAAAAATAAGCTCAAAATGGATTAAATGTGAGACCCAAAACCATAAAAATCTAGAAGAGAACACAGGCATTAATTTCTCTGACACTAGCCATAGCAACATTTTTCTAGACATCTTCCCTCAGGTAAGGGAAACAAAGGCAAAAATAATGTATTGGGGCTACATCAGAATAAGAAGCTTCTAAGGAGCTAAGATGGTGGCATAGGAGAAGGACCCTATACTCCTCTTGTTCCTAGAGCACAACCAGATAACGATCAAATCATTCTGATCAACCTGAGTACTGATGGAACAAACTGCACAACTAGAGGGAGAGAAGAGGCTACATCAAGGAAGGAAGTGCAGAGACATGGTTTGGGAGAGAAACAAAATAAAAAGCTTCTGCACAGCAAAGGTAACAATTGACAGCTAAAGGGCAATCTAAGAATGGGAGAAGATATTTGCAAATGACATGTCTGATAAAGACTCAGTATCCAAAATATATAAAGTTGTATGTATGTGTGTGTGTATATACACACATACATATATATATGTATATACATATATACATATATATACACACACACAACTAGCCAGCATATATATAACTCGACACCCAAATAATCCAATTTTAACATGAGCAGAAGTCATGAACAGACATTTCTTTAAAGAAGACCTACAAATGACCGACAGACACATGAAAAGGATGCTCAACATCACTAATCAGGGAAATGCAAATCAAAACCACAATGAGATCACACCTGTCAGAGTAGCTAAAATCAAAAACACAAGAAAGAATTATACGCCTGAAAATAATATTATACTATACTGTATGTTAACTAACTGGAATTTAAATAAAAACTTAAAAAAAAATTTTTAAACACCTAAAACAACAAGTGTTGGCAAGGATGTGGGGACAAGGTACCCTCCATTGCAAATTAATACAGCCACTGTGGAAAACAGTACGGAGACAAAAAAAAATAGTATGGAGGTTCCTCAAAAAATTAAAAATAACAAAAAGATCCGGTAATTCTGCTATTGCCAAAGAACACAAAAACTAATCCAAAAAGATATATGCACCGCTGTGTTCTTTGCAGCATTATTTAAATTAACCAAATTTTAGAAGTGGCCCAAGTGTCCATTGATAGGTGAATGGATAAAGAAGATGTGATATATATATATATTGTGGAATATTATTCTGCCCCCCAAAATAATGAAATCTTGCCATTTGCAACAACATAAATGGAGCTAAAGAGTATAATGCTAAGCAAAAAGAAGTCAGAGAAAGACAAAACCATGAGTTTACTCATATGTAGAATTTAAGAAACAAAACCAAAAAAAAGAAAGAGAGAAACGAAGAAACAGACTCTTAACTGTAGAGAATAAACATGGTTATCAGAGGGGAGGTGGTGGGGGTGGTAAAATAGGTGAAGGGAATTTTAAAAAAAAAGAATGCTGCTTACAGTGAGATGAGGTGGAAGAAATGTTCTGTGCAAGGATATGAGGGCCAGGAAATTGGGGGAGTATAGAGAAATAAGGATTTCAGAATAGGCAAGAGATACATGGTAAGATTAGCTGGCCTCTACATTGCAGAACTCTGAAGTAAAATTTGGGCGAAGTCACAGTGGATTCAGCCTTTATAAGAGCTATTCTCTCTGCATAAAATACTCTTCCAACTCTATTCCTGATTTGCTGTATCCTTCATTCACCTAACTCTTATGAATACTCTACACCTCAGCTTGAGTTTCACTTTCTCTAGAATGCCTTCCTCCCAACCTCTGATTAATTTATCCCTCTCCTTCTTAAATTTTTCCAAAGAATCTGTAATTCCTCTTTTGTTATACTCAATCACATAGCTGCCTTTCTGATTATTCGGGCTGAAAGCTTTCTGAAGACATTTGTCTTGTTCTGCATCGTATCTCCAGCACCCAGAAAATGACTGAAACACACCCAGGAATCAAGAAATATTTGGCAAATTAATAATTTGGCCTTGGGGCACCTGGGTGGTTCAGTCAGTTGAGTGTCCAACTTGATTTCGGCTCAGGTCTTGATCTCATGGTCCTGGGACTGAGCCCCACATCAGGCTCTGCACTCAGTGGGGAGTCTGCTTGAGATTTTTTTCCTTCTGCCCTCCCTCATGTGTGCTCTCTCTTTATCTCTAAAATAAATCTTTTTTTTTAATTTTTTTTAATTTTTTTTTTATGATAGTCACAGAGAGAGAGAGAGAGAGAGAGGCGCAGAGACATAGGCAGAGGGAGAAGCAGGCTCCATGCACTGGGAGCCCGATGTGGGATTCGATCCCGGGTCTCCAGGATCGCGCCCTGGGCCAAAGGCAGGCGCCAAACTGCTGCGCCACCCAGGGATCCCTAAAATAAATAAATCTTAAAAAAATAAGTCATTTGGCCTCATGATGCTTGAGTGGCATTGCTTGATATGGCTGATTCCAAACAGGATATCAGTAGAATATCAACCTTTTGATGTCCTTCCACTTTGAATAATGTCATTTTACATATAACTTTTCAAAGTCAGTTACTCATACAAAGGTGCTTTATTTTGATATCTCCAACAACATATAAGATTCTCTGGAAAATCAAAAATCATCAGGCTGCTACTCTATTATTTTAGAAAATAAAAAGGTATGGATTATATAATAGAGAAACTTCTTCATTATATGTAAAACATTTTTGCTGTTACCTATAGTAAAAGAGATGAAAGAGCATCCTGAAGGAGAGGGAGTGGTTCTGAGAGTGTTTGGATTGGGATCTACCCATCCCAATAGAGATGAAGACAAAGATGAAGACAAAGATGAAAGGATTAAGATGTAGTTTGTATTGGGTTCCTTCAATAACCTGATAGGTCCATATGTTCAACCCATATGACATTTTCAAACCAGACTTTGACTCACTGATGATCATTATTTGGATAGTTCCTCCAAAGCAAGCAAATGTCAGTTGTTAAAATGATGTGGAGCCTAATTGACAGAGCTACCCCTTGAGAATCTTGCTCCAGCCTGCTGTGAAGACAGCATCCTTGGTCCTGATGAGTGATCCTGTGGCCGTACATGATCCTGGGTGCAAGTCCACAAATACTGGGGCATAGCCTGAGTATCACTAAAAATAACAAAGGTTTCAGGGCTGGAGACATCATCAACCACACTGTCATGGATATCTATGTCTCCAGGACTCAACGGTGAGGGAAGAATATTTAACTGATGACCCTGACAGAAGGAGCCTGTGAGTACTTCAGCTTCAAACACATATATCAGTTCAGTTGTAGCAGATGTTTTCTTGATCTGGTCTGCTAGGTTTTTCAGGTTCTTGGTGAAGTATATACCAATTCCATATTTTAGGTCTGATAAAAGAAAACAAATTAAAAGATTATTATGATTATTATGAACCATATTGCCTATGTGGGTATTAATACATATTCTCTCTCTAGTCCTCCAAATAATCACCACCTCCTGGTCTCAAGTCCTTGTCTATTGCAAAAACACCTAAAGTCAATCTCTTCAGACAAATCATCATTGATGATGATCAGCATAATAATAGCTTACATTTAAATATACCCACCTTCCTTTTTACTCTCCTTCTTCCCTTTTTCTTTACATTTACTACAGATTTAATCGAATATTGTTGTAGGCTCAAGAGCAGCACTGAACCACAGAAGTAAGCCATATCTGCAACTTAAAATTTTCTAGTAGCCACAGAAAAAGGTAAAAAGAATCAGGTAAAATTAATTTAATAATTTTTATTTAACCTGTTATATCCAATATGTTATCATTTCAACATATAGTCAATATGAAAAATTATTAAGGAGATATTTTACATTCTTTCCTTCAGGTAGTGATCTTTAAAATCAGTGTATATTTAACATTTACAGCACATCTCGATTCAGGTGAACCACATTTTAAGTGTTCAATAGCCACGTGTGGCTGGTGGCTACCAACTGGACAATACAGCTCTAGGGCTTCAAAGAATGACTAGGACATGATCCCTATTCTCAAAAATTCACAAAGGGAGCTTCCCACATGTAAACGGTTAAAGCACAGAACAATTTTATGCAGAGAGAAAAGTATCTTGAGATAAAAATCAAAGATTTCTTTCCTAGAACATTCTTCTTGATCTTAGTTCCTCCACCGAGTTCTTGCTACTTATTTGTCTCTATATATCTCATATATAATTTTTTTAAGATTTATTTTAGAGGGACGCCTGGGTGGCTCAGTGGTTGGGCGTCTGCCTTTGGCTCAGGATGTGATCCCAGAGTCCCGGGATCAAGTCCTGCATCGGGCTTCCTGCCTGGAGCCTGCTTCTCCCTCTGCCTATGTCTCTGCCTCTTTCTCTGTGTCTCTCATCAATAAATAAATAAAATCTTTTAAATAAAAAAGATTTATTTTAGAAAGACAGTGCGAGCAAGGGGAGGGGCAGAAGGAAGGGGAGAGAGAGGCAGAGGAGAGTCCCTGCTGAGTGTGGCACATGACTCCAGGCTGGATCCCAGGATCCTGAGATCACGACCTGAGCCAAAACCAAGAGTCAGAGGCTGAACCAACTGAGCCACCCAGGCACACAATATAGCATATATAATTATTTTTAATCAAAGCATAGATTATGGTCTTGAAAGGTTTTCTGGGAGAGGAAAAGGGGTTTTTGAACCCTAAGTTCAAAAGCCTAAAGGAAGGATTCAGAGCATAGAGTTCATGCCATATGTAACAGAAGAGAGAAGGATAAAATATTCTTAGAACAGTTTTCACACTTCCAATTAAATAAAAGTTCTTCTGCCTGGTGGGAAGAGAAGAATCAGAGAGGACACGACTAGAACTCTTGGGGATTCTGAGAAGGGACTCACTTCACCGCCCCACTCCCTCAAGAGAGCCCTGGGAGTTAAGATGGTGCAGAACAAGAATCTCAGAAAAATGGGGAGGGAGAGACTTCCAGAGTAGAAGGGGCCATTCATTGCCCAACTCTAGTGGATGCAGGCTCCTCATCCAGCTGGCAGCTAAGTGGAAAGCAGCAGTGCCTGGGGATGACGTCCGGAACAGGTGAGGACTGCCACACAAGACCTTGCACTTCACCTTAAAGGATGGGCACACTCAAAAATTTCCTGTGCTACAGGAGGGGCACCAACCATGGTCAAGAGAGGAATAACCTCGGCATGTAAAACAGTGCCCTGTGTAGACCCTGAGAGCAAGGGGCACCATAAATTTAAGCACGGGAGGGTGCCAATGACCAAGGTGGTTTATCTAGCAGAGGACGTTGGAAGCCAGAGAACAGACAGCTGCAGAACGAGACCTCCCTCCCCACAATGCCTGTCACATCATCTACAGCACTCTCAGAAGAGAAGGAGGAGAAAAACCTTGCAGGAACTGAATTTTAACCCCAAAGGGGCTGAGACAACTCTGAAAATGACTGAGTTCCTCTTGAACCATCAAGATGGGAGTCTTCCCTGTTTGTAGACCTGGGAGCCTGAAAGGCAGGTGAAGTTCCATTTTAGAGCTGTGAAGAAGACAAGCCCCATACTGGAGTTCTGGGGACCTGTAGAGTTTGTACTTGGACTTACAGATACAGTAACAAAGGAATGTAGGAAGCAGCCCCCTGGGCCTGCAGGAGTGAGTGAGGGTGTCAGCCAGGAAAATGCCATCTGAGCAAAGTCTGGAAGAAGGAATAGGACTTTGCAGGGATAAAACGGGTAAGGAGGAAGGTATTCCAGAGGCATGAAATATCCCGCACATTTAGGAAACCCTAAGAAGTTCCTGGCTGAAGTGTGGAGGAGCACAGTGAGTGATGACCCTGGTGAGATAATGGGGGGTGGGGGCGGGGGCTAGGGCCTTACATGCTGGGCCAACCAAGCTGGAGTTCAACCCTGTAAGCAACTAGGAAGGCACATGGCAACTAGGATATTAAACAGGCACATGTGTTTTTAGCATGATAATTCTGGTAGCAGAGTAAAGGATAGGTCAACTAAAGGACAGGGCTGTGAGGCAAGGAAAGGACCTGGTCATCGTCTAGGCCCAGGGGAAGAGCAGCAAAGGCAGAGGAACAGAGAGGTGAGGCTGGGCTGAGAATGACACTGAGAGGGAACCTAAAAGGACTGTGTGACTGCCTGGACCTGAGAGGAAGGAAGGAACAGAAGATGGTAAAGTTTCCAGCTAGGAGACCCAGGAGATAGATAGTGATGGTATTAGCGAGGTTAGGGAGTATAGGTTGAGTGGGTGGGTGGGGGAAATAAAAGTGCATATTTCTTAGGGAAAAGCATGGCCAAGGTAAGAGTTCAGTCTGAGGTGGCTATAGAACTTCCAGGCAGAAATACTCCAAAGACAATGGGAAATATGGACCTACAGGTCAGGAGAGAAGAAGGTTAGAGATACAAATTTGTAAGTCATCCTAGAGGTAGGAGTTGAGGCTATAGGTATAGGTGCAATCACCCAGGGGGACATTGTAGAGTTAAAAAAAAAAAAAAACAGGGGGTGGGGTACCTGGGTGGCTCAGCAGTTGAGTGTCTGCCTTCACAGCAGGGTGTGATCCCAGGATCAAGTCCCACATTGGGCTCCCTGTGGGGGGCCTGCTTCTCCCTCTGCCTGTGTCTCTGCCTCTCTCTCTCTCTCTCTCTTTCTCTCTCAGTCTGCGTCTCTCATGAATAAATGAATAAATCTTAAAAAAAAAAAAAACAAGGCTTCCTTTAGAACTTCAGAAAATACTCAACAGATGGACTCACAGATTATAAAGGATAAGGGCAGGAACTCTGTGTGTTTTGTTTACTGTTGTATTCCTCCCACCTAGCACAGGGCCTGACTTATAGAATGTGCTCATTGTGGAATGAATGAATGAACCCAATAAAAAAAATACCTGCAAGCATGGTGGCTCCTTCTTGCTACATTCAGCCTAGCCCTACAAGCAAGAGATGAAATCAGAACTGGCTGGAATGCAAGCCAAGATAGAAAAATATATATATATAAAGATTTGTTAATAGAAGCCCCCTTTGCCTATAGTTGGCCATCTAAATTGACCAACAGTCCCATAATTCGGAACCTTGCAGGGAACCCCCTGCAAAAAAAGAAAAAAGAAAAAAGGCCAAGAGCCTTTGTACTCCAAATGAAAACTGGGTGAAAAAAGAAGAGTTGCAAAACAATTTCAGTGGTGATAAAAGGTCTCCTGGGTTTCTCAAGCACCTTTGGTTAAGCCCACTCACCAGACACGTCAGTGCAAGTCACATTATGGGCACTATCTTCCCAATAAGTCTATCATCTGAATTGCCTCAGGCAGTGGCTTTAAGCCTAGAGCTAGGGATGTGGACAGAGCACAGAGGCCAGTAGGTAAAAGACCAGAATCTTAAAGACTAGATGGAGACAAGACCTTTGGCTGGGTTTTAAAGACAGAAACTTGACCAAAAGTAAACAGGCTTCATGCCTGCAGAGGTTTTAAAGGAACTGTATTGCTGAAGAAACTGCAAGCCTGGCTGTCAGTAGCCTGGGAGCATTCTGGTCCCTGAGGCAATCCATGGACCCCTGGTAGGGAGCCGGCCTAGAAATGACCAAGGGCACCAACGCATATGGAAGATTCTTCCCAGAGTGCAAAACAAGGAAACAAGGGTCTTAATCCACTCCCTGAAGAGTCCTCACTATCCATGTCCAGCAGCAGGTGATTAGTGGTATGGACCAGTGACTTTCCTTCTCTCCTTTAGAAATGGGAGTTTTTTTTTCTCTTTATTTATTTATGATAGTCACAGAGAGAGAGAGAGAGAGGCAGAGACACAGGCAGAGGGAGAAGCAGGCTCCATGCACCGGGAGCCCGACGTGGGATTCGATCCAGGGTCTCCAGGATCGCGCCCTGGGCCAAAGGCAGGCGCCAAACCACTGCGCCACCCAGGGATCCCGAAATGGGAGTTTTTATTGCACTTTTCCTGTTCCTTCTCCTGGCACTATATAATGAGTGGGTTGGGGCAATTACTTTGCTTTCATGCTTTAAGAGAGGACATTTTGGACTTGAGGCTGATGATGAGACAGGGTGAGACTTTGGGGCTGTCTTCCTTGGGAGGTGGTGTATGTGTTCTTTAGGAAGAAAGCTCTGTATAGATGTCAGGCAACTAGCAGCATCTGCCACAGGACCAAAAAGAAGGCACTAGAGGAGTTGAAAAACTAGTGATGGTCTTAGAGTAGTTTAAGTAGGGGCAGGGAGTGGGGAATGCAGGAAAGCCAGTTATGATGGGGTCAGGAGCAAATAGAAGTTGTGAATTTTTAAGACTTTGTCAATAACCCTCTTCAGGTTACACTCAAAGACTTCTTGGTGGGCATTCATTTACCTATTTTTGTCCCCAGGAATTTTTCATGTTCAATTTTTACTTCAGGTATTGCTTAAGTTCTTCTGTCTGGGGCAAAGAGATGAAGATTACCAGACCCTGTGCTTTCTAGAAATCAAGACTTGGAGTTGGCTTCACAGCAAGGATCATGCTATATAGTTTGAAAGGTAAAGGTTCTTGCTCTTTAGCAGGAACATAGTCAATGGATCAGGTAAAACCAAGCCACATTGCTAGGTATTCTCCATGATTATTACTAAATTTCTTAGCCTCCTTTGGAGAGATCTAAAGGTGACAAAAATGGCCATTAAGTATGCACTATTGTTGTACAACTGAAAAAAGACACAGAAGCTACACATAGTAGAACTCCCATAGCTGAAAAGGATCTCAAGATGTCATTCACTTCACCTGCCATAAGATATCTAATTCATTCACTAGCTGTCTATAGGAAATGAAGAAGATGAAAGAGAAAAGTGCAACTTAAAAAATATATTTATTTATTTATTTATTTATTTATTTATTTATTTATTTATTTATTTATTCATGAGAGACACAGAGAGAGGCAGAGACACTGAGCAGGGAGCCCAAAGCAGGACTGGATCCCAGGACCCTGGGATCACGCCCTGGGCCAAAGGCAGGTGCTCAACCACTGAGCCACCCAGGTGCCCCAGAAAAGAGCAACTTAATACCAAGTTCAGGAAAATGCCCTTTTAATTAAGGGATGAAGTTTGGTAGTGGTGATAAAATTTTATGGAGATAAAAACAGCAACAAAAAGCTTCAAAGTGTTCTCTGCAGATAAAACACATAACCACAGAAAAGAGAAAACCAGTGAACTGTAGATCTTACTGCTAACATTTTCATCAACATTAAACCCATCAGCAACAAAACATATGAAGGACAAAAAATATGACCCTTCCCAAATAACTTTATCACTATATGCCAGCTGCAAGTGATTCCCCTCACCACAGCAACAAATACTATGCGTGGTGAGTCACCTGCTGAGGCCTGCTCACCCATCCCCACCTACGGAGGCCCTGAAGATGAGGGGCTGACACCTACCGCAGGGCACCGAGTACATTCTTTGAAAGCCAACTCTGCATACTGCTTCACAGAACTGGAAAGGAACTTGCTGAAACAACCTGCAGCTCACAGGTTTCCCATGTGTTCTCTCTTCCATCACTTTCTTCTTTTTTTGGAAGACAGCCATGAGAACGGAATTGTCTATTTTCTCCACCTATGACCCAAGTATATGAAAAACTGAAAAAAACTGGGAAAAAGTAAGAACCGCTATTTACATTGCTTGATACCCTGCTTCACACATAAAGGCTCGTATGTGCATATGGCGGCATGCAACTTGCATTTCATGTAGAGTGTTTTAAGAGTCTCTCCTGGCCCAACCCTCTGCTGCTTTGATTTGTCTCTTTAAAATTCCCTGTCCCTTCTTTGATAAATCCACTTAATAAAAATTCACTGAGCAGGAACCCCTGGGCTGCTCAGCGGTTGAGTGACTGCCTTTGGGTAAGGCGTGATCCCAGGGTCCAGGATCGAGTCCGCATCAGGCTCCCTGTGGGGAGCCTGCTTCTCCCTCTCCATGTCTCTCCCTCTCTCTCTATGTCTCTCATGAAAAAATAAGTAAATCTTTCAAAAAAAAAAAAACATTCAGTGAGCAGTCACTCCATGCCAGGCACTGGTAATGAAATGGTCAACAGTGTAGACACAGTTGTTGCCTTCTTAAAAGCTCATAGTTTAGTGAGAAGTAAAACTAGGTAAACAATTATAATATGGTGTGATAAATGCTATTCCATTTCTTTCATTTTGCTTCAAGACAGGCAGATAGGTTTGCCCTGAATCTTGATTGGTGCTTCTGTACATCCTGGCATCATCTCTACCTCCTTTCCAACTACACCCTTTGTGCCTGCCCACACCCCTGCCCCACTTTCTGTCTTAATCCCAGGGTTTTGGGCCAACAAGTAGCTGGCTTAGAGTCATCAGCGGGTGAATTATTCTTTTGGCTACAGAACCAAGTGATAGCAAGACGAATCAAATCTTTCCCTTAAATTAAGTATACCTTTATAACCTGCAAACCACAGTTTTCAAACAGTTTCTTCTGATCCTGAATTTCCTCAGCTGAAAGTTTTAGGCATCTCAGAAACTTATTCCTTTTCATTTCATCCTGATTTTTGGGTTGCCCATCAGTCCATTGTCCTAAAAATGAGTAACACAGCACTTTATCTCAATGCTCTGTGAGAGGACAGAGGGTTGTAAAGAAATTCAATAAAACAAATTATAGAAATTTAAAGGGGTGGATTAACCAGTTTACATTGTGAGCCTTATATGTTCAGGACATGCTAGGAGAGTACAACCTAATGAGAAGTCATAGGCTAAAAGAGGGGGTTAATAAATTTGTCCTCACATGGTTTGGATTATGAGGCTGAAGGGGTGAGAGAAAAAATATCATTAATGTATAATTCCCCCATCAATGTTGTAACAATGATATATAATTGTGTTGCTTATAGAAAATGTTTATATTTCTAGCCAGGATGCTCATCAACAAAAAGATACAGGCATGACAAAACATTAAGGTGTGATGAAAAATAGCATGACATTTACATAAAACTTCAAGATTTTTTAAAATTTTTATTTATTTATGATAGTCACAGAGAGAGAGAGAGAGAGAGAGAGAGAGAGAGAGGCAGAGACACAGGCAGAGGAAAGAAGCAGGCTCCATGCACCGGAAGCCCGACGTGGGATTCGATCCCGGGTCTCCAGGATCGCGCCCTGGGCCAAAGGCAGGCGCCAAACCGCTGCGCCACCCAGGGATCCCAAACTTCAAGATTTTCAAAAAGATCTCATATCTCAACTTCATTTGAACATCACAACACTGTCGCTGGAATAATTCACACACTTTTGCCAATAAGGAAATTGAAACTCGGAGAAGTTAGGTGACTTGCCCAGAATCACACTGGGCTTTCGCCAGGGCTTTCTGTAAGTGGCAAAGCAGAATGTTGGGTATATACATGACTCCTATGCCACCCAGCCAGAGAGAGGAGAATTTGGAGATTAAGAGTTTATGGTGTCCTTTCCTTCCTTTTTTTCCTTCTTTTGTTCCTTCTCTCTACTTTCCTACTTTTTTTTTTTTTTTAAATCTATGATAGGCACACAGTGAGAGAGAGAGAGGCAGAGACACAGGCAGAGGGAGAAGCAGGCTCCATACACCGGGAGCCTGACGTGGGATTCGATCCCGGGTCTCCAGGATCGCGCCCTGGGCCAAAGGCAGGCGGTAAACCACTGCGCCACCCAGGGATCCCTCCTACCTTCTTTTTTAAATTCAAGGGACACCTGTTATTGCCTAACAACTCCTTATTGGAATAAATATACATATAGGTAGACAAACAGAAACCCCCCAAAAGACTTATTTTCTTTCAGTTTTTTTTTTTAAGATTTTATTCATTTATGAGAGAGAGAGAACGTGAGCAGGGAGGAAGGACAGATGGAGAAGCAGACTCCCAGCTGAGCAGGAAGCCCGATGATGCCAGGCTGGATCCCAGGAACCTGAGATCATGACCTAAGCCAAAGGCAAACGCTTAACCAACTGAGTCACCCCAGGGGCCCCTCAGTTTATTTTCAATTTGACTTAAGCCCAAGTATACGAACATGACCTAATTCCTAGCACATTATTTAATTGAATGGGCTCAATTTAACCACAAAAAGCAGATTATAAATCCAAAGAAATTCTAGAGGGGCCAAGTTATACATCTGGAATGCGGGAGGGACAAAATTCCATAGCAGAGAAACTCCAATGCCAGGACATTGCAAAGGAAGAGATTATAAATTAAACCTCGAGAGCAACAGCTGACATTCATAACGTATAGTAACAGAGTTCAGTTCGCTTGAGTTCAGCAAACATTTACTGAGCTCTTATCACCTGTCTGGTGCTGGGTTGGGCATCAGAGACTCAAAAGATCCACAAACCGCTGCTGTCAGAAGCGCTCCTCAGGAAGCATTACAGTGGCAGCATCAAAGAGGAAATACCTAACTTCTATTAATTTAAAATTTTATTCTGGTGGATAGTTGATGATCCTTGTAGTAAAAACTCATTACAAATCTATCCATTTTGTTAATGAAGGTCTTAATTTGATTGAGAAGAGGGTGTGTAGGAGACTGAAACACTGCTGTAGAAAGATATGCTTAGTCATCAGCTATCAAAAATGCCACCTTGCAGCAGAACAAGGGACTTACAGGACTAACTGCCAATAGCTGGGAGAAGGAGTCAACGGTATGAATGCAGTTAGTTTCAAGTAATGCCACAAGCTTCATAGACCAGTCTTGTCTCTCGTTCTCCTGGGGAGCATAGTGCGGTCAGTTTAAATATCCACAGTCCTTAAGTTTCAAGAGCTAAGTAGAAATCATAATCTTTGGCCTCATCCTTGTGTCTTATTTTTGTCATTTTTTGCCCCCTGAGTTTTTCTAAGGAATGGAGATACAATATTTATTGTAAACTCCAACTGACTTTGACCATGTCTGCCTGAATTATTTTTACAAACAAGGTGCAAGTAAGGTGTTCTTTGAAATTTTACATCTGAATTTTTGTGCCAAACTCATCAACATTTCAGTGATCTTTCTACAGTATGAAACTGACCTTATCTCTGCTAAAATCCTTCAAGGTTCCCCCTTGTTTCAAGAAAAACTCTGAAATCTCATGTGATTTACAAAGTCTTGCTTAATCTAGACCCTGGTCTGATTGCTTGGAAGTTTCTTTACCTTATTAATTGTTATTTATTCTTCACTCACCATTTGTGACACCTCCTCTGAGAAGGCTTCCCTTGACCTCCCAAGACTGGGTTAGGTGTCTTAATAGGTATGCTGAGACCCAAAGCCAATGTCTGTGTGTAGGAGGGTTTCCCGTATACACAAGCAAGCAATTCTGCTGCTATCTACCCAAAGATAGCATCAGATTCCACAGGTTATGGGTTCAATCCTATAAGACTGCCCCCCAACACACATACACACACACACACACACACACCTCAGACACCAGTCAAAAGCCAGGTTGTTACCTGTGCTTCTGGCTGACTAGCTACAAACTAGAGGTTCCAATGACCTTCTCCTTGGATTCCAGACACCAGTTGGAAGTTCCGATTGCTACCTGTACTTTTGACTGGCTGACTATAAATCAGAGAGGTTCCCATGAGTTCCTCCTTGGGTTCAACTAATTTGCTGGAGAAGCAACACCTGGGTGGCTCAGTGATTGAGCATCTGCCTTTGGCTCATGGCATGATCCTGGAGTCCTGGGCCTGTTTCTCCCTCTGCCTGTGTCTCTGCCTCTCTCTCTGTCTCTCATGAATAAAATAAAATCTTTAATTTTTTTAAATAAAATCTTTAATTAAAAAAATTTGCTAGAGCAGCTCACAGAACTGAGGAACATGTTACTTACTGGATTGCTGGTTTACTGTACAGGTATATTACTCAGGAACAGCCAGACTGAAAAGTTGCATAAGGCAAGGAAGGAATGGGAAAAGGGGGCAGAGCTTCCATGCACTCTCCCAGCAAGCCACTCTCCCTAGCTCTCCATGGGCTCACCAACCTGGAAGCTCTCTGAACCTGTCTTCCTGGTTTTTTTTGGAGGTCTGTTACCTAGTCACGCTGATTAAATCATTGACCATTGGCAAATGATTCAGCCTCCAGCCCCTTCCTTAGATTGTTGGGCTGGGGGATACCAAAAGTTCCAATCCTCTAATCGTAGATTGGATCTCCTGGTGACCAGTCTCCACCCTTAGGTGCTTTCCAAGGTCCCCTCCTATATGTAACAAAAGACACCTTTATCACTCTCAACACTTAGGAAATCCAAGGGTTATGAGAGCTGTAAGCCAGGAATGTGGACAAAGACCAAATATATATAACAAATATGTTTTGATCACCCGAATGACCAAATATACATTCTAAATGACAGCATCACAGTGCCTGTCCGAGGTGCTCTCATAGAGCACTTTCACCCTCTTTCATAACGAACCTGCTTGCATCTCAGTATCCTCAATTAGATTTTGGGTAGAAACAATGTCCATCTTATCACTGTATCTCCAGCAGCCACCAGGATGCTTGGCACATATCACAGATAAAATTTACATAAGTCAAGTAAATAAATGAAATAAACCTCTGTTTCCCAAGGTGGCATTTACAACAGTAAATTTTTCCTAGTTAGCTCTTGGGCTATGTTAAAAGGATCTCTCCAGACCCAAATCCCAGTCATCATGATGAATTTTGCCCCACTGAATGGGAGATCCTTAAGTGTACTTCACAGTACAAATGAATAATTTACTTTGGTGAGCTCAAAGTAATTTCAACTTTCCTAACGCTGCCAGCAACAAATACGTAGCTGCAATAAAATTCAAAGAAATGAATTAATCAAATGGAATGTGTCCATATTTGAATGCTCTATTTGTAGAATTAGGGATGTATTTTTCTCCCCCAGAACCAGGGCTTGCGTTGCCTGAGGCTTTCCCATTTAATTGCCTCTCAAGCAACCCAAGTCAAGTAAATACAATCTTGTGTGTGTGCATTGTGTGTGTGTGTGTGTGTGTTCATTTACTAAGTAACCTTGCTGGTAGAAAGAGAGTAAAAAAATGGTTATAAAAGTTTATGGCCTAACACAGAACCAGCATGTTTGCTCTCGCTCCCATACTATCTCTGACCCACATACATAGAGCAGATGCACTCACACCATAAGGAATAGTTGCAAGAGCTGACTTTCCAATTTAAAGTTACTCACCTGACAAGCTCCAAAGGGCTAGCTCCTTTTCTCTTGCCATTTCCTCTTGGACTTCACACAGCATATGTTCAATGTTCAGAACAACCTCAATAATGTCAGCTTGGGCTCCTTTGATCTCTAAAATTGCCTTTTCCAGACTGATAATCTCTGAGATAGAGACCCTTAAGGTATTCTGAAGCTGAGTCAAAACGTCATGTTCCTTTTTCCCAAGGTAGAGGATATGATTATTCTCAATGATATGTGGATTCTGGGGGCTCAGTATCCTCTGGATCCACGCTTGGGCCTCCTTCATCTTTTCCAGGTTGGATCCCATCAGACTGATTGCAGGAGATTTAGGTTTGAGCCCATTTTCTCTTTTCTCCTCTCTGGTCAACTTGGGGACTGAAAAGAGTATCATAAACATCCACAGAAGGCAGGTGGGTTTTAAACCAGAGCAGAACAAAACACTAAAGCGAACATTTGTTTCGAGGATATTGTGACTGTTGCCAGCAGCAGCAGATTCAATTACGTGCGTACCTCTAAGAGCTGTGCCAGATATGAAGGAAATCTAAATGTATGGTTTACAGCCTCCTTGAGAACAGAGTTTAGCCTGTAAGGGGTCGGCTTTATCTTGCCTTGCCCCTGCTATGTTGCTTTTGTCAATTCACAGGTGAGTTCATCTTGTGATATCAGCCTAGATGTTAACCATCATAGTCATACCTCAGAGCCATAGATCGGGTTCCAGACCACTGCAATAAAGTGAATGTTGCAATCAAGCAAGTCAAATGAATTTTTTTTTGGTTTTCCAGTGCATATAAGAGTTATATCTACACTATACTGTAGTCTACTAAGTATGCAATAGCATTATGTCTAAAATAACACTGTACATAGTTTAAAAATACTTTGTTGGGGATCCCTGGGTGGCTCAGCGGTTTAGTGCCTGCCTTTGGCCCAGGGTGTGGTCCTGGAGTCCCAGGATTGAGTCCCACATCGGGCTCCCTGCATGGAGCCTGCTTCTGCCTCTGCCTGTGTCTCTGCCTCTTTCTCTCTCTCTGTGTCTCTCATGAATAAATACATAAAATCTTTAAAAAAAATACTTTGTTGCTAAAAAATGCTATCATCTGAGCTTTCCATGAGCCATAATCAGGATCACAAATCACAACAAATATAACAATGAAAAAGTTTGAAATATTTCAAGAATCACCAAAATGTTATATAGAGACATGAAGTGAGCAAATGCGGCCGGAAAAATGGTACCAACTTACTTGCTTGGCGCAGTGTTGCCACAAACCTTCAATTTGTAAAAACAAAACAAAACAAAACAAAACAACTCCAAACACAAAACAGTATCTGAAGCATGATAAAACAAAGTACCATAAAATGAAGTATGCCTTTATGTTCCACTGACTGAGATTTTCCTTAACCTCTGCTCCTACCGACTTTGAAATCAAACATCTCTGAAAGCCATAGAGCTTAGAGAGTGAAAATTCTTTTAGAAAAATATGTATTTCTGATTATAAAAATAACACATTTTTGAAAAATTAGAAAATTATCCAAGTATCATGAAGAAATACCCATAACTCTACTCTCTGGGGTTCCTCTTCATGTCTTATCTGTATGTAACAGGACATTTTACACCACAGAATTTGGAGCTTACCAGCTCCTGCTGCTTGACATGGTATATCCCAGCAGAAAATGTCAAGGAACTTGATTCCAACCCACTCATGTGTACCCCTCTCTATAACCCCCCTCCAAAAGGAGCAAAGATATATATAAAGAAGTAGAATCTCTGATGGACTATAGTAATTCTCAACCCAAATTGCAAAAAAAAAAAAAAGGTTAAAGGGCAATAGACTAGATGAGAGGAAATTCATAGGTGAGGCAGTATCTAGAATTATATATTGAGAATTCTCTCGGGCGCCTAGGTGGCTCAGTGGGTTGAGTGTCTGCCTTTGGCTCAGGTCATGATCCTGGGGTCCTGGGATCAAGTCCCCCATCTGGCTCGCAACTCCACAGGGAGCCTGCTCCCCCCTCTCCCTCTGCCTGCCGCTCTCCCTTCTTGTGCTCTCAGTCTCTGTGTCAAATAAATCTTTAAAAGAAAAAAGAATTCCCTCAAATTATCAAGAAAAAGGAAGAACACAAATGGCCTATATATGTGTGAAAAGATGCTCATCTTCACTGGTAATCAGGGATATGAAAAATTATCCACCAGACTGGTGGCAAATCTGACAATATCAAGTGTTGGGAACACTTGATATAGAGCAACTGGAACTCCTGTATATATCTATGATGAATGTAAAACTGGCACCACTACCCCCACAATTATATATTGTGTAAAGAGATTTTTGTACATGTGTTTCAGGAGGTATGTATAAGAAAGCTCACATTTTCGTTTGTAACAGCAAAAAACTGGAAATAACCCAGACGTCCTTCAATAATGGAATATTGTTATACCAATGAAAAGGAGTAAACTTGAGCTATTTGGATGAATCTCAGAAGCATATTTTGAAGGGGAAAAGTAAATTGAGCACTTACTATGTTCTAGGCATCGTTCTAAGTGCTTCACATAAATTATTTTGTCTGCTTTTCACAATCTTATGATATAAGTACTATTAACAGCCCCATCTTGCAAATGAGGAAACTTATTCAGAGTTATTACGTTACTTGCCCATGGTTATTAGGACTAATAAGTGGTGGCCATGGAGCTAGCAGGGGTGGGCACTCTGCCTCTAGCACTCATGTGATTCTGCTCCCCGTAAGCAATCTGAGGTTAGTAGTGGAAATTAGCATCCTTCCCCCTGATAGAACAGTTGGGTGGTATCGGGAACTGTGAAACAGTATCAGGAGAGAGACCTAGAAGTAAGAGAGGGTCTGAGAGAAAAAAAGAAAAAGCCAATGGTTTAGACAATAGAAATGACAAAGGGTTCTTAAATTGAAGGCATAGGGGTTTTGTTTGTTTTTTAACCCTTCCCCTGCCCGGGAATTTATATTGCTTTTTAGGAAAAAACTAGAAACAAAATATGGTGATACTTCATTTACCCATCATTACTGGGAAAAAAAGAATTGTTCTTCTGTGTAACTCATTCTTCAGATCACTAAAGGATACACTTCTAGCACCAAACACATTAGTTAAATATTTATTAGTTAAATGACTTTTTTAGTTTATTAGCTAAATATTTCTAATGAAAACACATTTCCCTGCCTTCCTAAATAGTTTAACTTTTCCTTCATAATCTGAGATCATCATCATTAACCGTTATTGTCAATTATTGTCCTATGCTATAATTACAATTCTTTTACAGGTGTTCTTAAAAATGACTGAAATCAAAGGTAACGCCTGGCCCTCTTATGCAGACCAATCACATAGAGACATTTGTATGTTTCTTTTCCATATTATCCTCACCTAAAACTCCTATCTACCTTTTTCCCTAGATTCAGGGTGGTTCTCTACCCATGCACTGCATTTGTTAGCTGCTGTGGGTTTTCTTCACCTTGGGTGCCCCAACCCACCAGCTCTAGCCATTGAAAATCCACCATCCTCAAAGCCCAACTTAGAACCACTTGTCCAGGAAGTTACTCTTGATGCCTTCAGGTCTGAATTTCTCCCTCCTCTGGGCCCTGTGGATCCTCTCATTCATTATTCTTTGGCCTTCATTTAATGCTTTGCAATTTACAGAACATTTTTACATGCATAATCTCCAATTATCCTCACAAAAGTCTGTTATTATCATTGTTCTACAGATAAAGATTCATAAGAGGCACAGTCACAGACCACAGCTCTTCAAGAATCCTCCTCCTTCATATCCAGCACTGCTGGACCACTGCACATCCATAAGTGAAGTCTTCTATTAAAGGGTATAGCAAATCATTGGGACCCTAGTGGGAAATATCCTAGCAGTTTCTATTGCTGGTCGAATGTCTAGTGTTTTTAGAATGTTCTTAGAATACTGTAGAGTAAAAGACTATTATTTCAGAAGTATACATCCTAGTTGTCATGAGGTATTTCCAATTCCATCGACTCAAACTTCACTAAAGGATAGGAGTTATAAGACAAATTTAATCTTTCTCCAACATCAATCAGGATTAGTTTAGTCCAGTGATCCCCAAACCTAGTTCAGCAGCAAAACTGATTAGGGAGCCACTGAAAAATATACATGCTTGGCCCAGATGGAGAGCTCCCAAATCAAAATCTGTAGAGTTAGGGCCTATCCATATTTCTGTTTGTTTGTTTAAAGTTTCAGTTATTATCCCAGGGATTACTCAGGTATGGGGAGTGTCAGGTTAATCCACTTATTATTATCTGGTATTACTGAGATATGTTTTCTATCATGGCTAATGAGTAATCCTATTTAGATGTAACCTCATTCAGAGCAAAAAGCGTAACAGGCTTAGTCAGCTTATGGAGGGCAGAACTTAGAGAAAAATTATAGACCTCTGTCTATGAATGAGCTACCCACACTGTGGATTACTCACTGTGGCTTAGCCTCTCTATTCATAACATGAGACTGAACTGGGCAAAAGTAGAATCACGTTCAGATACTGAGCCAGTTAGTATCTGAATAAAAGCACAGTGAGATATATTTGGCTTATTTCTTATTCTTGTCCCTTCCATTAGTTCAGATGATGAAAAATAGAATGAGACTCTGTTGGGTGGGCTCTACTTCCAAGCCCATGAATTTCTTACTCACCACTGTAATTATTGGAATGATGTAGCTTGGACTTATTCTTTGCCATTTCAGCGCTGAAAGTCTATCAGAAGCAAAAGAGAGCAGAGTCATAAGTGGGGATTTCAGGCAAAGTCAACAAAATCCCTCTTTCCACCTGCATATACCACACTTGGCCTTATCCACTCTGTCAATCCCCATCCCCACTGCCACAAATCTACAGCAGTCCTAGGGAACAGCAGTCACAGCACCAAATTACGCAGTACCACGAACTATTAGAACACCTAGGGGAAACGAGTATAGGAAAACCAGAAAGAAAACCAAAATCTGGTATAAAAGAAAAAAAGAATGCATATCCCAAGGCAAAATATAATCATTCACTCATTCCACAAATATCAATGCTCTGCTTATTACATATTAGACACTGAACCAAAGGTATGGCTATGTCACTGAAGACAAAAATGGGCAGATGCTCTTGTAATTAATAAAACAGAGACTTATTTAAATAAGTTATGTGCACACCAAGCTTTGTCTGTAGATTGAGTAAATGATCAATTCTTGTTAAGTGCCTAATAGTGAACCTGGCACATAATAAGCATATGTGAGCTATTGTTGTAATTATTTTTTTACGGCAATCAACAGACAAAGATTGGCATGTGTTGCCATGCAGACCCTTTAACATAGAGTCCATTTGAAAAAACGAAATGTCTGCTAGGGTTTGGAATGACTATACCTACTAACTCTTTTGTTTAAAGTTGGTTCAGTTGGCAGTGATTACTTCATTGGAAAGATGGTAAATAACGAGGAGGAGGCTAGATTTTTCTACAGTTTCTCCTTAGCACAGTGCCTGGCTGATGCAATACATGGCAGATGTTTTTATTAGCAATGCCTAGGGGAGCTCTCAGATTGTGGGTGATCTTTATAATTTTTTGAATCACCACATACATTTTTGTTTGTGTATTGAAGAGAACAGAACTTTTCTAGAAGCAATTAATTTTCCCTTGTAGGAAGATGCCACTTCCTGAGCAGTTCAGGGATGTGCTCAGGGCATCTATCTGGGCCCATCGATAGTGTTTCATTTTGTCTGGAAGGTGAGCTACTTCACTGGGTAGATTTTGCAGGTCAGCTGTGGATGAGACACAGTGGTGTCCTGGAGCTGGCTGACATTGGCTAATGAGAGCTCACCATGAACATCTCTTCCCAACTCCACCTTCAGTGATGTCACATTCACAGTTTGAAGTCAGCAATGAATACCAGCAAACAATACAAACCTCCCTGGGTCTAGTCAAGCAGCAAAAGGAATAAGAACCTATACACTTGTTCCAGCAAAGAGCAAAAGCTAGAACAAGTATAAGTTCATTTTCTTGTAGGGAGAGATGAAAATGGCATCCACTGACCTCGAGACAGACTGAGAGGTGGAAGAGTGAGAAGTCAGAGGACTAGTGTTCAGAGCCACTCTCTCTGCCAGACACTGAGCAAGACCCCTTATATCCAAACCCCAGACATATGCCTGGAAAATTGTCCTAGCCCTTGGATGTTGCTATTGGCAGAACCAGAAATCTGTCTTGAAAAACTATTTTAAGCTGCTGTAACTTATTTCATTTCCTTTTTTTAGTCTTCCTTAACATCATGACAGTCCCTTCTCAAAGTGCCAGCTAAGCAAGAAGAAAGCACAGAGATGGTACTTTAAAGGCAGGACAGCACAGCACCACATACTCATTACGGGGAATATATCAGGGACCTTTTCACACGTTAGAAACTCAGCTTATGGGTGCCTGGGTGGCTTCGTGGTTGAGCATCTGCCTTTTGCTCAGGGTGTGATCCCAGGGTCCAGGGATCAAGTCCCACATCGGGCTCCCTGTGGGGAGCCTGCTTCTTTCTCCCTCTGCCTCTTTCTGTGTCTCTCATGAATAAATAAATAAAATCTTAAAAAAAGAAAGAAAGAAACTCCACTTACTCTGCCCATTCTAAAACCAAAAGCTAAGATGAAGCAAAAACTAAAGAAGCTAGACACACAGACGTCTGCCCTCAGACACAGGGACCCACTCTCCTACACACAATCCCTCCAATTTGTATCAGACCACGATGGACTTCCCTCTGAGGTCACCTACAGAGAAGTTAAACAAGAGATTGAATTTGGGGACAGTACTGGGGACACAGAGAAAGTAGCCAAATGTACCTCTGCTGTGAAATAATCTAATTGGGAAGAAAAGATAACAAACAAGTCACTTGGTTTCGTACTCAGGTCAGCATTCCATGAATCACAGTTCATTACAGCTGATACAGTGGCTCCTCTTCACAGAGGGCTTACCTGTGGGCCAGGTAACGTTGTAAGTGTTTTATGTGTATTAACTCATTTAATGTTCACAACAGCTCCATAGGATGGTGGTTATTATTACCACTTTACTTTTTTTTTTTTTTTTTTGCAAATAAGCTCTGTGCCTAAAGCGAGGCTCGAACTCACAACCCCAAGATCAAAAGTTGCATGGTCTATGGACTGAGACAGCGAGGGGCCCCTCTTATCCCACTTTAAAGATGAGGAAACTGAAGCACAGAAAAATATATTAACTTGCCCCAAGAAGTTGACTGATTGAAGAGGAGAAGACAAGGAATTTGTCTTAAATATGTTGGATTTAAGAGGACAATCAGATAACCAAGTGGAATGAGGGAGGGTTAGTTATATGGGTCTGAAGGTGGCTCACAAAACAGAACTTTGCAGAAATTGTAAGAATACTTATATTCTCAGAGAGGGAGAGAAGAGAGAAGAGCAGAGGAAGGATGAAAAAAAATTGGAAGGTTAAAAAAAAAAAGAAAAAAGAAACTGGAAGGTTGCTTACCTTTGAAGAGCAGAGTTGAGAATGAAGGCGGCCAACAAGGGAAAAGAGGGAAGTTAGGTAGCTGGGTAACATGGCTTCTTCTTCTTCTTCTTCTTCTTCTTCTTCTTCTTCTTCTTCTTCTTCTTCTTCTTCTTCTTCTTTTTTAAAGATTTATTTATTTATTTATTCATGACAGACAGAGAGAGGCAGAGACACAGGCAGAGGGAGAAGTAGGCTCCATGCAGGGTGTCCAACGTGGGACTCGATCCCGGGTCTCCAGGATTACACCCCAGGCCGAAGGTGGCACCAAACTGCTGGGCCACCAGGGCTCCCATCTTCTCCCCTTTTTTTTTTTCATTTAAGATTTTATTTATTCATGAGAGACACACAGAGAGAGGCAGAGACATAGGCAGAGATTCTGAGAAGCAGGTTTTCTGCAGGGAGCCTGAATCGGGACTAGATCCCAGAACCCCGGGATCACGACCTGAACCAAGGCAGATGCTCAACCACTGAGCCACCCAGGTGCCCCAACATGACTTCTTTACAGACATTCTTCACTAGGTTGGAGGTGGGCAATTTAAAAAAAAATTAAATTTACCGAGTTAGAACATCACTGTGCTGTAAAGTGCTTAGCTCACGTCTTAGGCTGGCGATACTACATAGATGTTATCAAACGACAGAATGAATGGACCATAGGACATTTCTCTAATATTAACTGACCTTATAGGTCTCCAGTTCTTCTGGAAAGATCACAAAATTTGCAGTTAATTGTTTTTTCAAATGGTGCTTGGCAAAATTTAAAACTTCACCAAACATGATCTTGGCTGCTACATTGTTCGGAATACCAATGTTTCCAGTCCCCAGGGCGGGGAAGGAAATAGAAGTTTTATTTAGTTCAAGGCATTTCTCCAAACATTCCTTCACCGCAATTCTCAGCACCTGGAGGAAAAACAGATGAGCCTTTGAGTCCAAATAAAACCTCCCTTGCCCCTTGGATCCTGCCCATACTTTGCAATGCCGATCTCTATTCTCCCTAAGGGTCGTGTCCATGCCTCCTTAGAGAGCAGGGGAAGTTCCCCTCCATGGGAACCCACTGCAGACTTAGGTTAGATGATGAGCAACAGAAGTAATCTAGGGCTCTGTCTTATGCTCTTCAGGGTATTGGGATCCGATGATTTCTCCCAGTTCATAAGGCCTTGCCCATCTCCCTGGGTCAGAGAGCCAACCACCAATTTATCGCCACTTACTTGCTGCTTCCAGGTTGAAACAAAGAGCTCTTGGAAAAGTTTAATAAAGGAGACAGAGGGTAAAGTAAGTAAGCAGCTCTATCCAACATCTTTAAGATACGTCCGAATGTCCTATGTGATTGCTTCTGGAGAAGTGCTAACATATTTGGCAGACTTACACTTTGCATCAATGTTTCAACATCCAAACTGAATTCTAGTACAGGATGGTTGCCTGTGAAAGGGCCTTGGAAAACTCAGGGGGCAGAGAGTGACTAGAGCGCCAGTGTGGGATTAGAGGGCTCTCAGTCAAAGGAGGGCCAGAAATGGTGACAAAATAGAGAGAAACAAAGGTAGAGAAGGGGACTGTCTCCCTCTCTCCACATTTGAGTGGGTCCCACCTACTCTTTTATGTGTGGCAAAGTTAGCCGGAAAGCCAATCTCTACCACAAGCATAGGTAGGAAGACACCCCAGGTAACAGATTTACCTGGAGTAACACTGGAAAAGGAATCCCAGGACCTCCTGGCATTTAACTGATGGAGGGAAATAGGGAGAGGTGAAATTCCAGGTCTGCTTAGGGAAAGGCCAACAGGGTCACAGAAGGGTGAGGTGAACAGGTGTGCTAGCTGAGGCAGCCCCCCCTTTCCAGGTCTATTTACAATATGCCGGCTTAAATTTTTTTGAATTTTTATTATTTTTTAAAGATTCTATTTATTTATTCATGAGAGACACACACAGAGAGAGAGAGAGGCAGAGACATGGGCAGAGGGAGAAGCAGGCTCCATGCAGGAAGCCCGATATGGGCTCAATCCCAGGACCCCGGGATCACGACCTGAGCCAAAGGCAGATGCTCAACTACTGGGTCACCTGGGTGCCCCCAGCTTACAATTTAGACATGAGTTAGGTAATATTGTAAGCTAACTTTTTTTTTTGAAGATCTTATTTATTTATTTGAGAGAGTGAGAGCACTAGCAGGGGAGAGGGGCAAAGGAAGAGGGAGAAGCTGACTGCCTGCTGAGCAGGGAGCCTGACATGGGGCTCAATCCCAGAACCCCAGGATCATGACCTGAGCCAAAGGCAGATGCTTAACCTACAGAGCCAGCCAGGTGCTCCTGATCCACTGCTTCTAAGAATGTCCTTCTTTTGCACATCTTCACATTGCCCTAATGCAATTACCTCCTGTGTCCACTTCCACACCAAGTTGGCATGGTATGTTGACTTGCTAAATCTGGCAACCACACTCAAGCGCCATTTCCTTCCTCCATGAAGACTTACCCAATCTCCCCATGTGGAAGGCATCTTTCCCCTTGGGGCTTTCATGCTTCTTCAAATGCTCCTCTCTAATTGCAGTGATTGTTTTTCATCTTAGATTCAGCTTGTCTGGATTTGTTTTTTTTTTTTAATAAATTAATTTTTTATTGGTGTTCAATTTACCAACATACAGAATAACCCAGTGCTCATCCTCTCAAGTGTCCCCCTCAGTGCCCGTCACCCATTCACCCCCACCCCCCGCCCTCCTCCCCTTCCACCACCCCTAGTTTGTTTCCCAGAGTTAGGAGTCTTTATGTTCTGTCTCCCTTTCTGATATTTCCCACACATTTCTTCTCCCTTCCCTTATATTCCCTTTCACTATTATTTATATTCCCCAAATGAATGAGAACATACACTGTTTGTCCTTCTCCGATTGACTTACTTCACTCAGCATAATACCCTCCAGTTCCATCCACGTTGAAGCAAATGGTGGGTATTTGTCGTTTCTAATGGCTGAGGAATATTCCATTGTATACATAAACCACATCTTCTTTATCCATTCATCTTTCGATGGACACCAAGGCTCCTTCCACAGTTTGGCTATTGTGGACATGGCTGCTAGAAACATCGGGGTGCAGGTGTCCCGGCGTTTCATTGCATCTGAATCTTTGGAGTAAATCCCCAACAGTGCAATTGCTGGGTCATAGGGCAGGTCTATTTTTAACTCTTTGAGGAACCTCCACACAGTTTTCCAGAGTGGCTGCACCAGTTCACATTCCCACCAACAATGTAACAGGGTTCCCTTTTCTCCACATCCTCTCCAACATTTGTGGTTTCCTGCCTTGTTAATTTTCCCCATTCTCACTGGTGTGAGGTGGTATCTCATTGTGGTTTTGATTTGTCTTTCTCTGATGCCAAGTGATGCAGAGCATTTTCTCATGTGCATGTTGGCCATGTCTAGGTCTTCCTCTGTGAGATTTCTCTTCATGTCTTTTGCCCATTTCATGATTGGATTGTTTGTTTCTTTGGTGTTGAGTTTAATAAGTTCTTTATAGATCTTGGAAACTAGCCCTTTATCTGATACGTCATTTGCAAATATCTTCTCCCATTCTGTAGGTTGTCTTTGAGTTTTGTTGACTGTATCCTTTGCTGTGCAAAAGCTTCTTATCTTGATGAAGTCCCAATAGTTCATTTTTGCTTTTGTTTCTTTTGTCTTCGTGGATGTATCTTGCAAGAAGTTACTGTGGCCAAGTTCAAAAAGGGTGTCGCCTGTGTTCTCCTCTAGGATTTTGATGGAATCTTGTGTCACATTTAGATCTTTCATCCATTTTGAGTTTATCTTTGTGTATGGTGAAAGAGAGTGGTCTGGTTTCATTCTTCTGCATGTGGCTGGCCAATTTTCCCAGCACCAATAATTGAAGAGACTGTCCTTTTTCCAGGGGATAGTCTCTCCTGCTTTATCGAATATTAGTTGACCATAAAGTTCAGGGTTCACTTCTGGGTTCTCTATTCTGTTCCATTGATCTATGTGTCTGTTTTTGTGCCAGTACCACCCTGTCTTGATGACCACAGCTTTGTAATACAACCTGAAAACTGGCATTGTGATGCCCCCAGATATGGTTTTCTTTTTTAAAATTCCCCTGGCTATTCGGGATCTTTTCTGATTCCACACAAATCTTAAAATAATTTGTTCTAACTCTCTGAAGAAAGTCCATGGTATTTTGATAGGGATTGCATTAAACGTGTAGATTGCCCTGGGTAACATTGACATTTTCACAATATTAATTCTGCCAATCCATGAGCATGGAATATTTTTCCACCTCTTTGTGTCTTCCTCAATTTCTTTCAGAAGTGTTCTATAGTTTTTAGGGTATAGATCCTTTACCTCTTTGGTTAGGTTTATTCCTAGGTATCTTATGCTTTTGGGTGCAATTGTAAATGGGATTGACTCCTTAATTTCTCTTTCTTCAGTCTCATTGTTAGTGTATAGAAATGCCATTGATTTCTGGGCATTGATTTTGTATCCTGCCACGCTACCAAATTGCTGTATGAGTTCTAGCAATCTTGGGGTGGAGGCTTTTGGGTTTTCTATGTAGAGTATCATGTCATTGGCGAAGAGGGAGAGTTTGACTTCTTCTTTGCCACTTTGAATGCCTTTAATGTCTTTTTGTTGTCTGATTGCTGAGGCTAGGACTTCCAGTACTATGTTGAATAGCAGTGGTGAGAGTGACATCCCTGTCTTGTTCCTGATCTTAGGGGAAAGGCCCCAGTGCTTCCCCATTGAGAATGATATTTGCTGTGGGCTTTTCGTAGATGGCTTTTAAAATGTCGAGGAAAGTTCCCTCTATCCCTACACTCTGAAGAGTTTTGATCAGGAATGGATGCTGTATTTTGTCAAATGCTTTCTCTGCATCTAATGAGAGGATCATATGGTTCTTGGTTTTTCTCTTGCTGATATGATGAATCACATTGATTGTTTCACTAGTGTTGTAAGCTAACTTTCTTAAGATAACTTGGGACAACAACACTTTCTCTGCCTTTCCGAGTGGTAAAAAATTAGGACTAACCCACTTACCAACCTTTAATAAATGTAATGACATGATGGGAACTCAGCAAAGACTACACAGACGGTGGAACTACGTAAAGATACACTTATTCTGAACTTACCTTAGACTTTCTGAAACATCTTGAGTCCCACAACACATGGTATACACATTGACAGGACAATTTATATCCTTTTGTGACCAGTACCAACTGAGAACCTTGATGTATCTTGGTAATTTTTTTATTAAATTCCAGTTCTAGTTCATCTCCTGCTTGTTGTAGAATTGATTTTGACACAGGTCCTAATCTGAGACCATATTGCGGATCTACAGAATTAACAATTACATCTGTCTGAAAAGGAAAAAAAGCAAAAAACAAAAAACAGATAGGATTCATTGTTAAATCACTTTTTCTTAAGTCTTTATTTTGCTGAGGAGCTTTGAAAACTACTTTTGAGGATCCTAAATTCACAAAACATCATTTGTTTGTTTTGCACAAAATATCATTTAACAGGAGATAGAAACTCATAATTCCAAGGAGGGACCATTTAATTGCCATGAGTCCATTTGGCTATTCAGAAATTAGGTAAAGTGTGTGGATGATACAATTCTGACTGCAAACGTCCATGAGCCCCTTGCTGCCTTATACCGCCCAATTCCAAGATTCTGAGCATTCCCTGGGATTTGTTTTAACCTTTACCAATACATGGTTTCATTTCCTGTCCCACTGCCATCCCTTTTGGCTATTTCTGTGTGAATTTTCTGTTTTGTTTTAAAGAGAGTGTAAAATTTCTTGAGAAATTTCTACCTCCTAATTATTTTTCTTTTTAAAGAAAGCAGTACATGATTAAAGAAAGTACAAATGAGACAAAAAAAAAGTCTTCAGTGGAAATAGGCCTCCCTCTTGCTGGGTCCCTTGGATTCCCCACGCCCCCACCTGTCCTACAGGCAACCACTTTTACCAGTTCTTCATCTGTTCTTTCAGAGATGGACTGCATACACACGGGCTGTGTTTTCATTAATACTAGCTCCTCATTAGCTCTCAGCACACTACAGGGGATGGTATCCTTCCACCACCACCACCCCGACTCTGCTCAAACCCCCATAAATCATCCTGGTGGCTTCGGCTCCCTTTGCAGGCAACCCAGGTACTTCTTAAATTTTTTTTTTAAGATTTTATTTATTTATTCATGAGAGCCACACAGAGAGAGGAAGAGACATAGGCAGAGGGAAAAGCAGGCTCCCTATGGGGACCCCAGTGTAGGACTCGATCCCAGGAGCCCGGGATCATGTCCTGAGCCAGAGGCAGACACTCAACCACTGAGCCCCACCCAGGTGCCCCAATCCAGGCACCAGGCACTGCTAATAGATGTAAATGAATACTTCACTTTGAAAGCGCAATCAGAATTTCCAATTTGGGAGCACTGGCACCCTTCAAACATTTTAAAGTTCTTAATGTTGCTGGCCATAAATAAATATAATAAAGGTTTAGTTAAAGAGTAAGTTATTCAGCTAGGATGTTTCTACTTTAATTTTAAAGTGGCATATTAATAATAACTTAGTAAATCAACGTTTCATCGTGTGGGGTTCCCTAGTCTTCTTTCCTAATTGCCTTGTAGAAAATAAGTGGTATTTTTTCACTTATAACTAAGTCTATTTGATTGTGGCCATAGGAGAAAATTAAGTGTGATATCACTGATCTAGGAATAAAAAGAATATATAACCTTATATGTTTTGTCATCCTCTGTTGCAGCCCTTCTTCCCACTGCCCCCTTCACTTTTTCATCAATAATTTGCGGAACACCTAGATGCGTGGCTAGACTGGGCCCTGAGGCTACAAAGATGAACAAAACATGATCTCCATCCTTAAGGTGCCTCTGCTGAGCAGGGGAGCTGCATCAACCCTGATTCCCTCTCAGGCTTGCCAGGGCCCTGGTCTTTGTGCCCAAGAAGCAGTGGATAAATGCCAAGTTATCGTTTGTATTCTCTACAACCCCTGACAGAGCAGTATATTAAGCACACAACTTACAGCTCCATCTAGATCCCCTGACTGGTCCAGTCTGTGATTTTCAGACACCACTTTTGTGTGTCTCCGATCGAGTCCTTTTAAAGACCACCCAGGCCGCGACTCCTGCCAGTTCATACCCATCATAACTTGAGATCAGATTCAAAACTCATATCTTCTGAACTAATCTTTCTCAGTCCACTGCACCACCCTCTTGTCACAAATGTACATACTCTTAGATATTGTGAATTCATTTTGTATTAAGACTTTTTTTGTGGGCAGCCTGGGTGGCTCAGCGGCTTAGCGCCGCCTTCAGCCCAGGGCATGATCCTGGAGACCTGGGATCGAGTCCTACATCAGGCTCCCTGCATGGAGCCTGCTTCTCCCTCTGTCTGTGTCTCTGCCTCTCTCTCTCTCTCTCTCTCTCTCTCTCTCGAATAAATAAATAAAATTTTTTAAAAAGACTTTTTTGTTGTTGTTGACTATTGATAGGTTGCTTTAGAAACGTTTAGATGGGTTGTTTCCCCAATGAGATTTTTCAAATGGAGAATTTTTTCTTATATATAAAGAGTATCATAGATGTTAAGTTCTTGGAATCAAAGATTGTCCTACTTCCTCATAGTGCCTAAGAATAAATGTCAATAATAATCATAAATAGTTATCACGTGCCAAGCTCTATTCTAAATATTTTATGTGTATTGATTCCAGCTCTTTGATATAAGTGCTACAATTATTCTCATTTTACAGATGAGGAGACCAAGGTCCAAAAGATAACTCGATTCAGATCACCCAGTTAGCACATGACAAAGCTAGCATTCGAATCCAGATGGTCTGTCTCCAAAGTCCATACTCTTGGCTCTAACAAGATGCTTTCTAAATAGCGTCTGAAATGGTACACATTTAAAAAATATTTGGTAGGTAGTAAGCAGTTCAGGGATCTGCTTTGGCAGTATGAGAGAACAAAGACTTACCTCCTGCAATTCAATGTAGCCCTGGACAATCTGGAGAGTCACATCATTCACAGTTAGCGTCTCAAAAGGAGAGGTGGCTTCTTGACTTATCCAGGATCCCCGTTTGTTCAGCCTTAGGGTTCCTTCCAAAGCATTTTGAAAGGCAACAACAGTAGGGTGCTCATTGCTTACCAGGTGAATTTCTTTCAAATTATTGTCCAGTTGCTTCCCTTGGTAATACAAATAGATAGTTTTCACAATGGTCTGTGTGCACAAGTCCAGAGGAAACTGGAAAATTCCAGAGCTCAGGGCTGGAATTGCTAGTGTCTTAATGTACGGATAGGTAATGGTGGCAAAATCCAGAATATTTACAATGGCCTCCTGCAGCTTACAGATACATGCATCACGATCTGTCGCTGTCCACTGAGGCCCAACTGCATGAATAATGAATCTGCAGGGAAGCCTCCCTGCATTTGTGATAGCTATCTTACCAGTTGGTATTTTCCCAAATTGGGAAATTAATCTTCTGCTCTCCTCTTGGATTTCAGGGCCACCAGCATTCACCAGGGCCCGGGCCAGCCCTCCTGCATGAATAAGGTCTCCATTGGCTGCATTGACCACAACATCAACAGCGTGCCTGGTGAGGTCATCCCACCAAACAGATAGCTCCAGCCCAGGAATGAGCATTTCTCTGAAGACTTGCTGAGGTCCACTGTTACCTTCCGGGGATGGCAAGACCAGGGTACAGACACAATCAAATTTATTCTGAAGGACTTCACACAGCTGACTCTCATTATTTTTTAAAATTGTGAAATGACTGTGATTAATGGGAGTTTGCCAACTGTGGCCTTCTTCAAGAGTGGCAATCTCTGTAAAAGGAGAGAAGATTAAAAAAAAGAAAGAAAGAAATGAGCAAAGGGTTCCTTTGAAAAGGATGTAATTCCACTTCACATCAGGAGACTGAGTTTCCCATGTGCAAAAAGTGAGATGAGCTTCCTCTCATCCCCTTCTGATGCTCTTTTTCAACCAGACACATAATTAGACTAAGGATATACAAGAGTTTTTCGTGGTAGGTCACCTGTGAAGTGCCTAATTTTGTGCCTGGCACACAGTGAGCACTCAATAAATGGGAGCTGCTATGTTACAGAGATGGTGGTGAGAAAACTATGTGTATGGGGACTCTTGAGATTTTAAAAATTTGTGTAAAAATGATGACTCTGAGAGCATCCATGCTTAAGGCCCATGCATTGGAAATGACGGAATTATGAGTCAAACATGTATGGAGGCTTTCTTTTATTCATAACTTGTTTGCTTTGGTCAGTGTCTCAGTTTGGGGTTCTTTTAAAAGCAGACTCTGAGGTGACGATTTGAATGCAAGTTTACTTGGGAGGTGATTCTAGAAAACACCAGGGGTGGGTGCCAATGACCAGGGTGGAGTGGGAAAGTAAGACAGGACTAGGAAGGAAAGGAGTGTGTTATGGAGCAAAGGAAGCTGGACTCCACTAGGGGGCAGTGCAGCTCATGTGTCTCACAGTTACACCACCAGTGGAGGGGGAAAATTATCCCACTGCCTTGAGTCACTGGTTGAGGATGCTCCTGTGGGGGGCCAGGTCCAGCACGTGTGTGGAGCACTGATAGTGCCACAGTAAATAATCCTTCATCATACTCTAGTTTCATGGCACAATTCTGGTGGAATTAAAACCAGCTGAAAGTTATATTTATTGTAGGTGGCAGACAAAAAGAGGTGCTGCTCAGACCCCCGCCCCCCCCCATGCTCCACCCCATGCTCAATGCAGTTATGAAGGGGCAATTTGGCTAGGCAACAGCTTCTAGCTGCTAGCCAATCAGGGTCCATTTCAGCTTTCCAGCCAAGGTCCACACCATCCTCAGGGTGGCACCCATTAATGGCTGAGCAAGGCCATTTATGCACAATGTGGGGTTCCTGCGATGGGCAGAGCTTTGTCAGGTGTTCATTATCATCTGATGGCTCCACCCACCCAATCTGGTTTCTCTTTTCCTTTCACAATAATCCCCGTGTACCTCTAACTCCATGTCAGTTTCTGCTTCCTGGAGAACCCCACCTGTGACACTCTATTTCCTGGAACCTAAGGCATCATTATTATATGCCACTGAGAGAGGGGAAATGATGCCAATTAAACCATGGCACTTTAGTGACTGATAGGGAGTAGCCCTATTTCAGGGATGGGAAAAAATATGGGTCCTAAGATAGATAAAATGGGGTAATTAATTACATTTTACTTCAACTTCCATTTCTGATCTGAGCCACTTAGAAAGATTTCTGGTGGCCTTAAAGACCTAAAAGAAGCAGCACATGGGTGCCTGGGTGGCTTAGTCTGTTATGAATCTGCCTTCGGCTCAGGTCATGATCTCAGGGTCCTGGGATGGAACCCACATAGGACTCCCTGCTCAATGGGGGGCCTGCCTCATCCTCTCCCTCTGCCTGACGCTCCCCGCCTTGTGTTCTCTCTCTCTGTCCCTTCCTCTGTCAAATAAATAAATAAAAACTTAAAAAAAAGATTTAAAATTAAAAAAATAAAAGAAGCAGCACATGAATAGACAAATCCAGTTGGCCTGTGCTTTGGTTGAAAATCGCAAGTTGGCCACTCCTATGATTAGGCAGGTTCCATTCGGCTCATATGACCCTTGTTAAACAAAGGGACAATCAGTAGGTCACTTGGCCAATATCATCAGCTCTAGGGCCAAGGTTGGAAGATTCTCACATCTTGTGGGCAAAGGCAAGGATCAATGGGAGGGCTAAGAGAACATGTCTCTTGGTGTCACACTGCCCCTGAAGCAGTCTCCCTGGCGAAGCATGTGCTGGGTGGCCACAATGTCCTGCGATCCCACACCTGAGCACCTGGGGAGTGGGGGAGACATTTTGCTTCTACATTCCCCTTTCTCCACAGTGGAAAGATCTGAGCAGAGATCCTCTTAAACATAAGTGAGGTGATCCTACCTGATTTCTCATTGGAAGCTGCTGCTCTGGAACCCTGCAATAAATAAAAGTGGTCTTAAAAAAAACTGCAACTCAACAGACTGGAGACTACTGATGACAAATACAGCCTAATAAACACAAAGCAACAAAAACCCTGCAAAAAACTATGAGGTTTGAAGGGGAAGGGGAACAGGTGTTTGTTTGTTTAATCTTTGTACCTGACATACTTGAAATACTACACGTCCCAGCAAACCCTGACCTGGAGGCCAGTGCACTTCTAATTTGGGATGAGGTGAAGAATGGAACATTTACACTTGCTTTTCAAGGCCCAAAGGTCACAGACCAAAATGATCCCCAACTCCCTCAAATCTCCAAAGGCTTGTGGGGTTTCTCCAGACAGAACAGGACACATGGGAACACGAACCTCATCAGTTATGCCTCCCTATCCACCAGTAAGGACCTACTTTAAATTGCTTATCTCATGACACAAGCCCAAACATGGAATATTCAGTTTAAACAAATGAGGTGCCTTTTTCTCTGCTTCCTCCTCCATCCTCCTCCCCTCATCCTGCGAAGGCAGATTGTGGAATGAGTAGATAGAATCAAAATGACACTGAGGTGATATTAAAAAAAAATCACTCATCCTCATGTTGGCTCTGTTGCTTACATTAGCAAATTCTTGATTCCCCATCCCGCACGTGGTGCAAGATGAAAGCTTTCACTGGGCTATTAAACCCAAAGAAGAATTCCAAGTAAAACTAAAGACCTCAGGTTTCTAGCTGTTATAGGAAGAACTCTTCGTGTGCTGATCAAGGTTCATCATTTATATGCACTTACGTTCTTTACCTGGGAAAAGTCCATCCTCCAGGCTCCTGGAGTCTTCAAAGGTTTGTACTCTATTTTGCGTTTCCAGATATAAGCTGTTATGCCCAGATCTGGTTGCCCGCTTCTAGGAATGAAGAGAAAGGGTGCAGTAAGCACTGACTAGCGTCTTAGGGAATTTGGTAAGAATACACTGAACGAAGAGTAAACATGATTTCTGACCTTAAGTCGTTTTTGTGGGTTTTTTTTTAAGATTTATTTATTTATTTATCCATGAGAGACAGAAAGAGGCAAAGACATAGCAGAGGGAGAAGCAGGTTCCCTGGGGAGCCCGATGTGGGACTCGATCCCCAAACCCCAGGATCATGCCCTGAGCCAAAGGCAGATGCTCAACCACTGAGCCACCCAGGTGCCCCTCTTGAGTCGTTTATAATTTCGTTGGTGAAGATGCACACATTGTTTTTGCTGCTATTGTTGCCGTTCACCTTCCGTTCTTACAGAGAGGTTCTAGTTGAAACTGTAAGGACAGTTCAGAGAAGGAAACCATAAGGACAGTTCAGAGAACTACTTCCCTGAACTACAGCAGGGAAAGCTTTGTGGAGGTGAGGGCAGACCCAGGCCTTGGCAGACCGAGCGAGCTTTGTCATTATCTAGAAGAGGAGGATGATACCAAGAGGTACTGAGCACAGCATTCAAAAAAAAAAAAAAAGAGGGAAAACTGGCCTTAAGAGTGAGTGAAGTCCCTGGAGGATATTTGAAGAAAGAGGGAACTGTGCTTGTGCCAGTGGAAGGTGTGTGTCACCGAGTTTGTGCTAAATATCCTTGATCAAATCAGAAAGGAGAATATCTGGAGAAAAATCAGAAACTCCGTGAAAACATATCTTAAGATTATCCATCTAACAGGGAGGAATTAAAGATTGAATTTTTAGGAGAATGCTGATGAAAATGCTTAAACACACAGTTACCTTCCTTTGTTGCCCACACAGCTGCCTTGAGCCCTCTGAGATGGTTTCTAACGCCTTTGCTGTAGAAAACTTCTGGGGGGGCACCTGGGTGGCTCAGTCAGTTAGGCGGCTGCCTTGGGCTCAGGTCATGACCTCCAGGTCCTGGGAGCCCCACATAAGCCTCCCTGCTCAGCGGGGAGTCTGCTTCTCCTTCTCCCTCTGCTCCTCCCCCTTGCTCATTCTCTCTCTCTCAAATAAATAAATCTTTTTTTTTTGTAATTTTTTTTTTAGATTTTATTTATTTATTCATGAGAGAGAGAGAGAGAGAGAGACAGAAAGGCAGACCACAGGCAGAGGGAGAAGCAGCCTCCCCATAAGGAGCCTGATGTGGGACTCGATCCCAGACCCTGGGATCACACCCTGAGCCGAAGGCAGAGACTCAACCGCTGAGCCACCCAGGCATCCCAAATAAATAAATCTTTAAAAGGAAAAAGAAAGAAAAGAAAAGAAAAGAAAAGAAAAGAAAAGAAAAGAAAAGAAAAGAAAAGAAAAGAAAAGAAAAGAAAAGAAAAGAAAAGAAAAGAAAAGAAAAGAAAAAAAGCTTTGCTCTATCTACAGCAGCAGAGCACTATTATTCTTACAGGTCAGGCAGGAAAAGCAACAAGTCCAACAGAATCCTAAGATGCAAGGACGGGATACATTTTTGCCACCAGAGGGCACTCCTGTTTTCACAAAGGAAGGATGACTTTGGTGTCGCCTTCGCTGGGGGCTTCCGGGGCTTTGCTTCACAGGTTATGGCATTTGTTTTTTCCTTCAGACCTAGGGATGTTCCTTGAAGACCTAAGGATAGACTTGGCCGTGGGGGCGGCATTCATTTAACCCCAAAGAAATAAGAAAGAAAGAGCATGTTGCCCCATTCAGTCTCGCTCAGCTGGGAGCCCCACCTGGGTCTCCAGCTCCTGAGATTATGACCCTGAGGTCATGACCTGAGCCGAAATCAGGACTTGGACACTTAACCTGACTGAGCCACCCAGGCACCCCAGTCTTTTTTGCGTTAAAAACAACAGAAATAAGAACAAACACCTTCCCAATTTTCCATCACCGGCTCTGATTCTTTCTGTCCGTGGGTAGCATGAAGGATTGACTCTCCTCACGCTCAGCACACTGTGGTCTGGCCCCTTGTCTCACCCCACTCCTCCATGGGGTTAATCCCAGCAGTCTATCTTCTGTCCTAATCTTTACTTGACTGCTTTCTACAACATTTCCTTCTTTGATTCCTTTGATTCCTGCCTTCTTGGCTTCTACTATGCCCCTCATGTGGGTTCTCGCCTTTAACCTTTTCCCTGGATTCACCTCCTTGGTTTACTCCTTAATCGATTGCCCCAGGACTCTGTCTGAAAAGTACTTCTCTGCTTATTTGGCCCACCCTCCCAGGGTGATCTCATCCATCCTCAAAGCTCCAGCTCACCAGCTGCAAATATGATTCCCAAACTATCCCTAGGCTATACTTCTCCTGATCCCCAAGTTTCTTTTCTTTTTTTTTAAAAAAAAAATATTTTATTTATATATTCATGAGAGACACATAGAGAGAGAGAGAGGCAGAGACATAGGCAGGGAGAAGCAGGCTCCATGCAGGGAGCCCAACATGGGACTCCATCCCAGGTCTCCAGGATCACACCCCGGGCTGAAGACGGCGCTAAACCGCTGAGCCACCCAGGGATCCCCTGATCCCCAAATTTCAACTCCATCTGTATGTCCCACAGTACCCTTCCACACAGACTCTGCAAAACTGGACCCATAATCTATCTCCACTCCCTAACTCTCTACTCTCACCAACTCCTCCAAAATCCACACTTTATCTCCTGGATGCCACAGTTTAGTAAACCGATAGACCAGTTACCCACTCAAGTCAGAAATCTAGAATCTTCTCCCTTATGCCATATCCAACCCACATCACTGGGTCCTGACCAACTAAATCACTTTCTTTTTTCTGTTCTTTTTTTTTTTTAGTAGCTCCATGCCCAGTGTGGAGCTCAATGCAGGACTTGAACTCATGACCCTGAGATCAAGGCCTGAGCTGAGGGATACCTGGGTGGCTCAGTTAGCTAAGCATACGACCCTTGGTTTTGGCTAAGGTCATGATCTCAGGGTTGTGAGATCAAGCCCTGCATTGGGCTCTATGGGCAGTGCAGAGTCTACTTGAGATTCTCTCTCTCTCTCCCTCTGCCCCTCCCTGCTTACTCTCTCTCAAATAAATAAATAAAATCTTTTAAAAAAATTTTTAAGGGACGCCTGGGTGGCTCAGCAGTTGAGCATCTGCCTTTGGCTCAGGGAGTGATCCTGGAGTCCCAGGATCAAGTCCCACATTGGGCTTCCTGTAGGGAGCCTGCTTCTCCCTCTGCCTGTGTCTCTGCCTCTCTCTCTCTCTCTGTGTCTCATGAATAAATAAAGAAATAAAGTATTTTTAAAAAATTTTTTAAAAGGGGTGCCTGGGTGGCTTAGTTGGTTAAGCATCTGCTTTCAGCTCATGTCATGATCTCAAGATCCTGTAATCGAGCCCTGCATCGGGCTCTCTGCTCGGTGGGGAATCTGCTACTCCCTCTTCCTTCTCCCTCTGTGCTCTCTCTCACATACACACTCTCTCTAATAAATTAATTAAATTAAAAATTAAAAAAAAAAGACCTGAGCTGAGACCAAGAGTTGAACACTTAACTGACTGAGCCACTCAGGCACCCCTAAATCACTTTCAAATATGCCCCTACCCTCCTTTCCTATTGACACCATTTCGTTTCAGAGCTTCAGAGCCTCTTGCCTTGAGGCAATATATTCTTCTAAAGGATTAAAATATATTCAGTTTTACATTTTACTGTTTGAATAGGTATAATATTACTGGTTCAAATTTAAAAGAATGTGAAAGGCTCCCTCCTACCCACCTCACCACATTTCCTTCCCAGAAGTAATCAGTGTCAATAGCTCCTCCTGCATCTTTCCGGAGGCTTTTTCCCCACACCGTAGCATCATCTACACACTCTTCTGCATCTCACCCTTTTCATGTCATGTATCCTAGAGATCTTTCCGGGTTTGCACATCAAGAGCTTCTTCATTCTTTTTACTGCTCTTTGCATTCCATTATATAGATGCCCGATAAGCTATTAAACTTCTAGGTCTCCCTACTTAGGGACATTTAAGGAGTTTCCAATCTTCTGCTGTTGTAATAAAAAGGGGGTGCAGAACAACTTTGTGCATAGGCCACTTCCCGCAGGTGTTAACTGATCAATGGGCATATCCTTTCTAAACCGGGGCTTCTAAAACACTTGAAATTGCACCTATACCTCCCACTCTATCTATATTGGTCAGCACTGGTCTAGACCCTTCCCCTGTCCCATCTCATCTTCTCCAAGGCGGCTCCCAATGCGCTTTGGGTCTCAAGGGTTCTAGTGCCTCAGATGCTCCCCACCTCTCACTCTTTTTAAGATTCTGCTTCAGGGATGCCTGGATGGCTCAGTGATTGAGCGTCTGCCCTGGGCTCGGGGCGTGACCCCAGGGTCCTGGGATCGAGTCCCACATCGAGTCCCACATCGGGCCACCCGCAGGGAGCCTGCTTCTCCCTCTGCCTGTGCCTCTGCCTCTCTCTCTGGGTCTCTCATAAATAAGTAAATAAGTAAGTAAGTAAGTAAGTAAGTAAATAAAACCTAAAAAAAAAAAAGTCTCTGCTTCAAACTTACGCTTGGAGGCCTTAAGAGACTTTGCTTCCTTATTCACTCAAGTCCGCCTGCCTTCACCAGCAGGGCCTCTGCGCTCATCTTCGCCCCCTGGCACCCGGGTGGGAGCCCCGAGCCCCATCACGGCTGCGAGGCCGGCCGGAGGGAGCTACCTGGCGCCCCGTCCTAACGCAGGTGAACGGATTCAAATGTCAGGAGACGAGGGAGGTTTTCCCCGGGAATTCGAGTGAGTCCCGGCCGCTGCAGGTGACAGTAACAAGGCACCGGCAGAGGAGCTCGGGGGCCTCACCTGCGGGCGGTCCCCCCACCTGCGGACCCCGAGCCGACCTACCTGCTCGCGGGAAGGGCGCCCGAGGGAGGAGGAGGAGGGGCAGGAGGGGCAGGAGGGGCAGGAGGGGCAGGAGGGGAAGGGAGCGCCCGTGCAGGGCTCGGGGAGGGACTTCCGAGAAGCGAAACTGAAACTCTGCGGCGGGCGCCGCCGTCCCGAGCCATGGCCCTCCGCCCGCCGTCCCCGCTGCTCGTGCGGGTGCCCCAGGCCGGCCCGCGAACGCGCTGGAAGCTGGGGGTCTACTTCCAGAGCCGGAGCTCGGGCGGCGGCGAGTGCAGCGTGCAGCCCGCCCACCCCGGGGACCAGGGCACCTTCCAGGTGAAGTTCTTGGAAAGGGCAGGTGAGCGGCGGGTGCAGAGCGGGTGCAGAGCGGCGGGGCCCGCGGGGTCCCCCCACCCCCCCCCAGCTCCGCTGACCTACACAGGATGGCACCCACTGCTGGGGACCCGAACCGGGGCCCCCGCTGCCTCCAGAGGGAGGCCGGAGCCCAGGAGGCCCAGCCAGGGATCTGCACTGACCACATTTTAGAGGGGATGCTTTCCAGCATCTTCACCCCCACTCAGAGTTCTCAGCTCTGGGAAGAGCACCTTTCCCTCCTCCAGACACCTCTAAACTCCTATCATTTAGGTATTCCACTTTATTTCTTTTTAATTTATTGATGGGGGGGGGTTGGGCAGAGACCCAGGCAGAGGGAGAAGCAGGCTCCATGCAGGGACCCCGATGTGGGACTTGACCCCGGGTCTCCAGGATCAGGCCCTGGGCTGAAGGCAGGCACTAAACCGCTGAGCATCCCCCCGCCCACCCACCCCCCGGGGGTGCCCTAGGTATTCCACTTTATTTTTTTTTTTTATTTACTGAGACACACACACAGAGAGAGACAGAGAGAGAGAGGCAGAGACGCAGGCAGAGGGAGAAGCAGGCTCCAAGCAGGGAGCCCGATGTGGGACTCATTGATCCGGGTCTCCAGGATCACGCCCTGGGCTAAAGGCGGTGCTAAACCGCAGTGCCACCCGGGCTGCCCTAGGCATTCCACTTTCATATTTCAATTATTCCATTGATTTGTTTTCCAAGAATTACAAATAGTCATATATGCTCACTGTAGAAGAGAGAGAGAAAAGAATAAAGAAAACCACCCTGGAGCCGATCTGGTGCATTTCTTTGCAGCCTTTTTTTCCTACGAATTCAGGCCATCGACCTACATTTGCGAAATTCTGAGGCTGTATCTTTGATTCCTGCTCTTTTCGTTTGACTTTATAGAATGAGTATTATTCCATATCATTGAAATGGGAAACTGGAGACAGTTTCGGAAGCCTGAAAGAATGGACTTTATACCCTTATCATGAGCTTTTCATTTCTACAGTAACACGTAAGCTGGAGGTGCCCGGTGGCTCAGTCGGTTAAGTGTGTCTGCCTTCCTCAGGTCGTGATCTCAGGGTCCTGGGACCGAGAGCCCCAAGTCTGCTCCCGGCTCAGCAGGGAGTCTGCTTCTCCCTCCCTGCCCCCTGCTCATGCGGGGCGCACCTGCGTGCATTCTCTCTTTCTTCCTCTCTCTCTCTCTCTCTCAAATAAATAAATAAAATCTTTAAAAACAAACAAAAATGTAACCTGCCCACTTTGGAGTTTGACAGTGCCCTGTCACCAACCCACCATTCCAGGATGCAGGGAGTGGCCTTCTCGGGAAGCTGTTGGGACAGGGTACAGATGCATGAATAAGAGGTTTAGTCTTACCCATGTGTATGTGTGTGTATAATGTCTCCATTGAAGCTAAAGAGAGAGTCTTGAAGAAAGAAAAACATCAAATTATCGTTGACAACAAACTTCTGACTATTTTTCTGGAGCCCACTGAGAATCCAGTAGAGAAGAATGCAAGACCCAGAATGTCTTCGCTGACACAGTCACAGGAAGAGGTGAGGTCTGATGAGAAGCATCCAGAGGGAGAAGGTATTCCTCATGCTATGGATTCCTGTCTCCAAAAGGTAAGGATTAAATGAGGGGGCAGAGGGATAGGTCCCTGTACCTTCCCCTCCATTGGCCATTCCTTTCATTATTGATCCAACCACCACTTGCTGAGGACTTACTAGGAGGCAGGTACTCTTTTAGGCATTGGGACACAGAAGTGAACATAATAGACAAGATCCCTCTGGGTGGGGGGGGGTACATAGAAAGACAATAAGCAAGTAAACAAAATAAATGAAAACATTTCAGGCAGTGAGTGATATGTACTGAGAAGATAATATGATAGGGTGTTGCCTTAGAGGGTGACAGAGCCAAAGTGAGGAAGGGGAAAGAGGTGGTGCTGCTTCTGACCAGAAGTCAGAAGCAACTTCTCTGAGGAGGAGACATTTGGCCTGAGACAATATCAACTGCTTATTGTGTGCCAGGCACTGTCACAGGAGCTGGGAATACAGCCAGGAGCGTAGACCATGCTCTCAGAGACCTTACATTGTAGTGAGGGAAAAAGATAATGATAGGAAAATATATATATATGTAATAAAATATATATATAATATATAAAAATATATACATAAAATTTATATATATATATATATATATATATATATATATATAAAATGTCTGCCAGAGGTGCTAGGAAGAAGAATAAGATAGGATAGATGACAGATAATGACAGGCCATTATTTTAAATAAGATATCAGGGAAAACCTCTCACATGAGGTAATGTCTGGATAGAGACATGAATGAAGGGAGCTACTAGCTAAGTGAGGTAAGAATGTTCGAGGCCGGGGGAAGGGCAAGTACAAAGGCCCTGAGACAGGAGCTTCTATCCTGAGCCCCAGGATGGGCTCTAACCCCCAGTGTGGCTAGCAGACAGTGGGCAAGGGAGAGAGTGAAAGGAGAGGAACTCGAAGAGGTAACCGAAAGTCAGATCCCTGGGGGATGAAGGTAGAAACTTTGGGTTTTAACTTCAGTCTTAGAGGATTCACCTGATGGCTTTGAGCCAGGGGAGCGGGCTGATCTGGTTTACGTTTCTAAAGGCTCACTTTGGCTGCTGTGTGGAGGGCCGAGTGTAGGAAGGGGCCAGAGTGGAAGCAGAAGGTGAAGGGTTGCAGCAGGCCAGGAATGAGATGACAACGGCTTGGACTCAGGGTGGCCCTGATGAAGGTGTGAGAAATGGCGAGATTTGGGCAACACCTGAAGGATGATCTGGCCCAAGGATGTTACATGCAGAGGAAGTAGCAGGTGCAAAATCCTTGAGGGGAGCAGAACAGAGAAACCTTGTTTTTGTATTACATTCAATTTGCATGTCCTTTTCTCAGCTTCAGCTGGTGTTTTTGTCCTATATTTGAGCTTCTCAAGGATGGAATTTAGAGGGCCCAATACCTCATGCGGTTAGGTACTCAGTTTAAGAAAAAAAAAGGGGGGGATCCCTGGGTGGCGCAGCGGTCTAGCGCCTGCCTTTGGCCCAGGGCGCGATCCTGGAGACCCGGGATCGAATCCCACGTCAGGCTCCCGGTGCATGGAGCCTGCTTCTCCCTCTGCCTGTGTCTCTGCCTCTCTCTCTCTATCTGTGTGATTGTCATAAATAAATAAAAAATATTAAAAAAAAAAAAAGAAACCTAAAACTTTAAAAAAAAAAAAAAGGGGGGGGGAGGAGAATTGAAGAAGAGAAAACACAGTGAATAGGGAAAAACATCCTCTTCAGATTTATGGCTCCTTTCCAAGCTCACAGACTCTTGTGAGAACCACTGCAACTTGCCCAGAAAGCGGAAGTGCCTTCCCTCCTCCCCACTCCCCAGTAGTGGAGATAGCAGAGGGCTCTAGAAGCCCAGCTTTTTGTCCACATCACTTTTTGAACATGCTCGTACCCAGACTCTACATTTACAGTGGACTCTCTGGAGATGTCCCTGGGCCTTGGCTTGTTGGTTTGTTTCCTTTCCTTTTGTTTTGTTTTAATTCCCCCAAGTGATTCTAATGTGCAGACAGAGCTGAGAACCTCTGGGTGAGGCCTGCTACATCCTCTGCAAAAAGGATTTGAAAGAACTCACCTTCTGGTGGTTTCTCTGGTCTTTAGGCGTTGTCCTGACAGGAGAGTGTAGGGCTGACATCTGAGAGATTTTATTTATTCCTTTTAAATTTTCAGATCTTTCTTTGTGTCATGGCTGACCTGAATTGTAACCTGTTCTCTAAAGAGCAGAGGGAACAGATAACCACTATCTGCCCCAAGGTCAAAAAGATGGAGGGGCACGATGGAATTGAGAAGGTGTGTGGCACCTTTGAAGATATTGAAAAAATACATCACTTCTTGAAAGAGCAACTCCAAGAAACCGGGCACAAACATGAGTCTTCCCTTTGGACAGGGGAGAGGGAGTCGCGCCCTCAGCAGGACCAGAACAGCTGTGTTTCCCCCTCCCAACCAAAGACCAGGGCAGAAGAAAAAAGCAGCCATCTTGAAATTCCCTTGCCTTTCTTTGAATACTTCCAATATATCTATCCTGATACAATAAACTCAATACAGAAAAGATTCGGTGTAAAAATAACAGTTCAGGAGAGTTCTCTGAGTACTGTCTATTTAGACTTCATCTCCAATCAATCAGGTGACCTCGAAGCTGCTAAAGAGTCTTTTGTCAGTGAATTTCAGAAAACTGCAGGACTGCTGGAGCAGGAATGTGTTGCTTTTGAAGACAGTAAGGAGGCAAATAAGATCAAACAGGAATTGAATCAACGGTTTACAAAGCTCCTTATAAAGGAGAAAGGAAGGGAATTAACTCTCCTTGGGACACAAGATGACATTTCTTCTGCCAGATATTTTTTTACCCTAAAAGACCCTGAAAATCTTGTCATGGGACCTGTGAAAATATCGGCTCTCACATGCCTGATTAATGGGATTGAAGTTGACACCGCTCAGTATAAGCTTGTAGAAGCTGAATTACTCCAGAAGGTGAAAGAGATAGAAGAAAAGTACAACACTCAATGTGAGATTTGTGGAAACATTAAGAAAATGCACATTCTATTTGGACCTAAGGACAAGGAACTCGATCTGTCTGTCCATGCTTACGGAAGTTTCATCGAAGCCTATCAACATGTGTCAAGTCAGCTGGTAAGAGAAGT